GTAAGTCATTGAGGGATAGGGTATAGTTGGCATGCCATAGAGTATAGAAGCTGCAGGTTTATATTAGCACTACAGTGTGTAAGGACACTAAGTGCAGGTTTATATCCGGATTAGCACTATAGCGTAAGCTTAGTGTAGGTGGTGGGCACGACCTTATGTGTATTGTCTGGATTAGCACTATGGCGTAAGCTTAGTGTAGGTTTAGCACTACGGTGCAGGTATTTTACTCGTATACCCAGGGTCCTCAGGGTGTTATATTGGGCTATTGTCTACGGTTTATTGACTATGGATTATGTTTTATTGGTTAATAATGGTAACGATGCAAATAAGCTTATGAGCTTATGGAATAATAGCAAATATATTGAAAAAAATAATAATAAGCTTATGGAATTTAAATTGTAAGTATTTTGGTAAAAATAAGCTTATGAGCTTATGGGATGAAAGGTAAGAAGTTTTATATTATTTTGATCATGGTAAAATATTGAAGATGCTATTAGCATGGTTTTATGGCATTGGATTTGAAATCTAAATTCATGCATGAATTGTATTGCACTATATATATTGTTTTAATTGCCTCACTAAGTTTATACTTAGCGTGTGATGATTTTCACGCGTAGGTAAAAAGCAAAGAATAAGAATAAAGAGTTCAGAACGACATCAAGCATTGAGAGGTATATTTCAATATCAGTAAGACATCTTATTGTGAATTTTGATTTTAGATAGTGGCATGTAATTTGGAAATATTTAATTTAATTATTGAGTAAATTTTTGGGAATTTTTATAGTGATGAAAGATTAATTTTTATGAGTTTTATATGTAAATTTTTGAAAGTTACTGTAGCATGAACAGTAACCCCATTTTAAACCAAATTTTCTAGATTGTAAAAGGGGTACCGATTCCCCTGCTACAGGGAATCGATTCCCCCACTATTCAATGTTACCGTTCACGGGTAATATTCACTATTCATATAAAATAAATCTTTTGAATTAAATTGGTTACAACGAAACCTGATTTATATAATATGGTATTTTTATAATATTATTCACCATTTTAAGAAAATAAATTTTAAATCGCTTTTGAATTTTGAAATAGTTTTAGAAAATACGGGTAACATCCGTAATCTGTATAGGTATAAATATACGGGTTACGGGTGTTACAAAAGAAATGTCCGTCTATTTAAATTTGTTGAGAAAAAGTTGTTATAACTTATTTAAGACATGGTCTCGACATTTTTAAATAATCGAATATTCTTTATCTTTCTAAAGGCTAAGTAATTTTAATTTAATCTATTTTGGTGCTCTTAAATATTGTAAAACTCGTATGATTTTGTTTTGTTGGGGATCATAAATCAAGTTAATTTCAAATTTGTAAATTTCATTGCAAAGACGTTAATTAATCGACTAGGTACCGATTTAGGGCGCTATGGGGGTGTTAATCCTTCCACACGCGTAATCGACTCTCAAACTCATTTTCCGGTAACACGGACCTCAATTTGTTGTTTTAATTAAAAATAAATTTTATTTAAAATGACAAAACGTTTTTGGGTGCTCAATCACACCCTAATCAAGGATTGGTGGCGACTCTTCGAACCATTTTTTTACTCGTAAATAAAATCTCAAAATTTCGAAACGAGAGGTTTTAAAAATCACATTCACTTTTAATTAAAAATCAATCACAAAAAGAATAATTAAAATGGTGTGGTTTTAAAATATCACTTTTGAAAAAAAAACCGTTTCGACAATGGTGTAGACGTGGCGGTCCACGTTGGCTAGTGAAGTGATTGATGACAGACATATGAGCTAAATTGAGTTTGAGGGATAAATTGTTTTTTTTTTTAAGTTTTAGGGGTTTATTTAATTTTTTAGAGAAATTATTTTAAATCTAAAAATTTAAATTTAAGATATAAAAATATTAATTATGGAAATACGAAAAAATAAAAATTATATTACTAAATATTATATATATATATATATATATTAAGCAAAGTTATTGAAAATATTATTTTTAAATGATTCATTGAATTTACAAGTTAATTTAACGTGAGACAACTTTGTTATTAGTTTAAAAATTTAAAAATAAATATTAGGCGTGATAAATAAATACTCAAACACCTAGAGTCCATGTCCACCTTGCCACTTTATAGAGTTGTATCTAATAGAAATTGACAAGATATGATAATTTACCTATTAATTTTTTAGATCACATTTAGGTGAAATTTACTTCACTCTATCATGTTATATTCACTAGGATACTCTTTTTAATTTTACAACTATTTTTATATATTTTAATTATATAGTTTCATGATAATTTATACAAAAAATTTAATTTTATAACTTTTAAATTTTATTTTGTATGAGATTTTATAATATTTATTTGATTTAATTTAATAAAAATAGTGAAATGATATTAGAAAGACATTTGGAGTTTAAGATAGTTAGATGTAAATATGTAAAATAAAATTTGTACAAGATAAAACGGTTTTATGTTTATATAAATGAAATTCAAGTTAAATTCTAGGTAAAAATAATAGTATAGATTTTCAAATTTTTAGTAATTTAATTTTTATTTTTGATATTTATTTTTTAATGTTTTTATATTTTATAATTAAAATATGTTTTCCTTAAAGAATCAAGCAAGTCCTTAAACTCTCAAAAAATTATTATGCCCCCATAATTCTATTAGAAACATAATTTAGTCCATCTATCACATCACCAATCACTGTAAATCGTCATGTCAGTGTCATAGACTATCATATCAATATCATAAAATGTCTTATTAATAACAAAAATTGTTAATCAAAGGACCATATTAATTTTTTTCTTTCTAATTTTAAAGGTATCATTGATTTTCGTTTTAAAAATATAAGAACCTCAAATAATTTTTTAAACTTTTTGTTATAACCCCGTGAGATCATTTTAAAAAACCCTAAACCATTAAAAATTTGATTTTTAGTATTAGAAGGATAATCAGGGGAGGACCTTTCGATTAACAATGCCTTCCGCCTGGTATATCACCTATGTTAAAGGCTCTTCTAGTTAAGAAATATTTCGTAATTGAGTGTGTTTTTTTCCCTATTTGATTAAAATGAATATCATTTCTCTAAATTACTTTTAAGTGTTATTTTCATATTTAATTATTAAATTATTGTTATTTTCATGAAATAATTCAAAATTTCCACTTCTAGGGACCTGATAGATAGAAGGAAAAAAGAAAAGTCAAATTTGAGCAACCCTAAGTCCGAAAACTAGGCCTGATTTGAATGAAAATGAAATATATAGGGTCTGTTTGTTTCACGTAAAACGTTTTTCGGAAAATGTTTTCCTTATTTTCCAATGTTTGGTTGGAGGAAAACTAGTTAGTCAACGTAAAACATTTTCCTGGTCAACAGAATTTCCTTTGTGTTTTCTGGAAAATGACTTAGAGTCTGATTTTCCGTAAGTCATTTTCCGAACTTTTCACTTCAAAGAATAAATACTCAAAATAATTTTATTTTATGAATTTAATATTAATAAAATATTTTAAAATCATTTTAATCAAAATATTAATTATTAAAATATTAAAAAATATATATATATATATATATATTAATATTTCTAATAATATAATATTATAATTTTTAATATTATAATAAAATAATAAATTATATTATAATAATATATGATATTATATTTTTATTTTAATAATATATAATAAATTATTAATAAAATTTATATTATTTATTAATTTCATAGAAATAATATTATTAAATTATTAATAATGAAGAATATTTATTTATATATTTAATAGTAATATAATAATCTAATAATATTTCAATAAATATATTTAAAATATACTAATTAATATTTATTATTGTAAAATATTTTTATTTCAGTAAAATATACCAATATTAATATTTTTATTAATAAAATTATAAAAATAATATTTTAATAATAAATAAATAATTTTAATATTTTAAAAATAATAATATTAAGTTTTATGATAAATAATATTATTTATTGTATTTAATATTTGTAATAAATAATTTTTAAAAAATTCATCAAACTAGTTGAAAAAGGGTTTAAACAACATCTTCCAAACATCGTAAAACGTTTTCCAAAAAATGTTTTTCATAAAATGTAATTCATTTTACGAAAAACAATTTCCAGAAAACGTTTTCAGTGAAACAAATGGATCCATAGTTTCCTCTAAATATTCTATGGCATCGACATTGCAAGATCTACAACATTAGGTATGCTAGTCATGGGCCTAATCATAAATGCTTCATTGAAGCATAATAAATGCAACATTTAAATGGATGAACAAGAACATCATTCAGAAATGAAATCGATAACATCTTATTATGAATTAGTATTTGTGTGAAATGTTATCAATCATTTGATAATGAATACTAAAACGTTTTTATAGATGTTGTATTCAAACCTAAATTTTCTATAGATAACAATTATCTTTTTAACCACTAGAACTCTAAATCACGTATTGAATACCCAATTTGTTTTAAACTTATCAAATAGTATTATTATTTTTACTTTTTATATGGAAAATATATTTTTTATTGAATTAAAATTGACAATATTTTATTAATTTAATATAATAATAATTATAAGATAAAAGTTTCATTATATTTATTATTATATAAAATATTTTTATTTAAAATATTCTGTAGTCCAATGATAATATTTTTTTATTATGATTATAAGATAATATTTGTTTAAAATTTCATTAATAACACATACTTTATAAATATAGTTGTTTAAATTCAAAATTTTAAGAGAGAACATCATCATTTATAACTAATGAGATGACTTAATAAGTTTAATAACCGAAATATTTTATGTTTAATAAAATTATGAAAAGAAAATGAGTATGCTCACAATTTAATGAAAAGGGTCGAGTAAAAGAAAGATAACAAAAATCTAGTAAATAAACAATTTGCAATACGACATAAGTACACAAGTTTTTTTTGTTGTTGTCCTTTAGTTTATTTTGTGTTCTGTTATAAATTACGAGTCTTGCTTTTGCGCTGCTCCTCCTTCATCTTCTTCCTCAAATTCTTCATCTTCCAAAACTTCATCATCATTTGGCTGCACAAATCGCAGCTTCAAACGCCCATCTTCCCTACAAGCATGCAAGAATTCCTGGGTGGGAACCCTCACCTGTTCCAGCACAAATCTCCCGTCTTCCCTGTAAGACTTGAAGCAAAAACATGGCTTCCCACTTTTCCCTATGCACGAAATCGGTGGTGGAAATCCTCCGCCGCCGCCACTTCCCCTTGACCGCTTCAGTTCACCGTACAGATTCTCCATCGAATGCTTGATGGTGGTCGTCATCGTTTTATTTTCCCATTCCTGTTTCATGTCTTCAACATCACCGGAGCTCTCGAAACCGAGCCCTTCGGTGCATAACTGAAGACTCTCCGAGCTCCATGAAAACCCTTCACTCTTCTCATAATTTTCATGGGAAGAAGAAGACTGGGGAACACATATATTTTCTTTGAAATGAAGCTCGCCGAAGATTTCAGTGAACGCAGGCTGCTCAACGGGTTTGATTTGGTTCCATGAAGAGAGGGATTCGAGCAGGGTAGGGTTTTCTGGTGATGGGTTTTCGAAGATGTGGTGAATGCTCCCACAGACAGCCATGGATTGATTATCCGATCGGAGTAAAAAGGGGAAAAAGAAATATATAAAGAGAGCTTGAAGGTAGAGAAGAAAACACGAGGAATACGAGAGGGGCGTTCGACAACGTATTAATGTGTGGGAAAGTTGATTTGGGTACCTATCCTAGTGGAGTATCTCATGGAATGGGTTGTTAACAAGTTGGGGTCAATTTGGTGGACATTATTCTTCTGTTTTTGGAGGCAAGTTCTGTTTGTACACAACCTTATAATCTAAGGTTAATTTAAAATGATTTTTAATATAAAATATTACTATTATGTTTAATCTAAAATATTATATAATTTGTTACGTTACACTAAAGAAAACATTTTATTCTGTTTCTTTAAATTACGTGTACCAGTTAGGACATGCCACGTAATGACGAAGCTTCCATTTACGAATTGCCATGTATTGATGTGATTTGTGAGACAATTTGCACCCTCCACCCTTTATAACATCGTTATTTTTTTTCCTCATTTTCTATAAAATTTATTTTTCATTTAATGATAAAATATATATTTGTAAATGACAAATAAATATTATTATATTATTTTTCAAATAAAATAATTAAAATTTTCCATTTACAAAAAAATATCTAACCATCAAAGATATAACTGGTAAAAAAATTATAAATCACCATTCCAACAAATAATTAATTTTCAAATAAGATTTTTTTAAATTTTTTTTATCTTTCTAATATTATTAATAGTTAGTATACGTGTTTAACTTTAAAGTCGGATAAACTCACATGCACATAGATATAAAATTATTTGAATCAGAGTCACATAAAAATAATATTTTATTTCATTCTTTATATATTATTAATGCATTAAATATAAAATTTAAAAATGATAATATTCTAATTTTGAGAGAGATGGAGATTTTAGGACCAAAGGCCAAAAACCAGAAATTGAGGGTGACTGGGCAGCAAAAAATGATTTCCAAAGCGGGAAGATAAGATTAGTGAAGTGAGGCAGAAAGCAAGTGGGCATTTCCAGCATCTGTTTTTGTGATGCACCACCAGCTCTTGGAATATTCTCAATGATCCCTCTCTTATCCAAACTTTTTTTTTTACAATATATCATTGGCTCCCATTCTTCATTTTATGTGGCATGTTTAGGTCGAATTATCCCTCCATCCTACTATTTCTTTAATAATTTATATAAAATTATTAAATTTAAAATGGTAAAATCAATCAAATAAAACGGTGAAAAAATTTCACATATTTTGTAGGCGTCTTCTGAATGACTCGAAGAAAACACATGAAACAATGGGCGTCTTCTACATGGCCTGAAAAGGCATAAATCATGGGAGCATAGAAAGGCGTCGAATCTTCTATACGTCATTATGAAGATGTTGAACGGTCTGAATGTTTTCCTCCATACACTATTTATTTCATTCTAGTTGAGAAAATAATTTCTCATGCATCCTAGACGAAACAATTCTTTTCCATCGTATTATTTAAATGATTTTGCCAATGTAAAATATTAATTTATATAAAAATAAAAATAAACCTACTTAAAAATACATTGCACTTTTATTTTAACATTTAAGCCCATAGTTCCAACGAATCTAGTTCATTTCTTGATTTTCCGATATTTTCTTTTTAATTATATAAGTTATTTAATTTACTTGGAATTGTTGTAATGATTTTTGGGGTCGAATTGGCGGAAGTTTTAGAAAAGGTTTTTGAAAAGATGAGATTCGTCACCAATCACTTTTAAAGTCAGATTAAAATATTTAAAATCGAATAATTTTAATAAAATAATTTTATTTTACTAAAAATACCAATGTTTGGTTTGTGAAGTCATAAATCAGATTCGTGAGTTAATTACGTGTGGGGGAAGAATTAACATAACGTCAAAAAATTAATACCTAGTCATTATCTTATATTTTAAAATTGAAATTTTTGAATTCGAAGTTTTATTTAATTTAAAACTCATTGTGTATGCAAATTTGAAAAGTGTATCAATTTATTAGGACTAATAACAAATACCATCAAACACAAATGGAAGCTTCATTATTAATCCTAATAAATAGACACTGCCTTAATAATTTTAAAGTCATGATATGAGATTTTGAAAAATATATTGATTTATTTAAGGGAATCAATAATGGTCATCTCAGGCATAATGCGAATGATACACTATTAACCCTTAATAAATGAATATTTTCTTGTTTTTAAATCGAATTATGCAGTCAAACAATCAATTATTCAATACTATGTGAATTAATTAAGGCTCTCATCTAACTAAAGAGTCAAATTATGAATTTAAAAGGACCTAAAGCATTAAACCTAAAATATAGACTCTAATATTAAAACCTAGCGAATTTTAGCAATTTGTTGGATCAAATAATTAATATGGTACTCGAGCATGAAAGCGAGGACCAAACTAAAAGCTCTCTTAAGTTAAAGGACCAAAGGTTAAATTAATCTAAAAATGAAGGTTTTAATATTAATACTAACCCATTTTAACAAATTATTGAATCGAATAATTAATTCGGAACCTCGAGCATAAAAGCGAGGACCAAATTTAAAAATTCACCTAAATTAAATGACTAAAGGTAAATTTAATATAAAAATGAAGGCTCTAATATTAGTCCTAACCAATTTTAACAAATTATTGAATCATATAATTAATTCAAAACCTCCATAATAAAATTGAGAACCAAATTAAAAATTCGCCTAAATTAAAAGACTAAAAGGTGAAATTAATCTAAAAATGAAGGCTCTAATATTAATCCTAACCAATTTTAGCAAATTATTGGATCACATAATTAAAATGGAATCTCATGCATAAATGTGATGACCAAATAAAAAATTCACCTAAATTAAAAAAGTTTAAGGAATAAATTAGAAGGAACCTAGATTTAAGGCCTTAACCTAAAAACTAAGAAAATAAAATAGGACTAAATCTAAAATTATCGAAATAAAGATTAATAAAATAACTTAGAACTTAAAAAAAAGACTGGATTAAAATAAAGTAAAACATATAACTGAAATTAAAAATATAAAGTAAAGAGATTAAAATGAAAGAAAATAGAGTGTAAGGCATAAATTAAAAAACAAGCAGAAAAATAAATACTGGAGATTTAAAGACCTAGAAATATAAATTCTCTAAATTAAATAGCATAAAATAAACATACAAAAAATTAAAGGGAAAAAATGTAAATATTATAAATTAAAAGTTAAAGTGTTCGCTTTAATAATTTTACCCTGACCATAATAACAAGGGTTGTACCTCAGAACTGGTCACTGCAATATCATACAATTAAATTAGGAATTTACGGTTGAAAAATTAGAATTTTACCTATACCATAAATACTATGGGTCGTACCCGAGATAGGTTTGCTGCAAAAAAAATTAAAAAGTCAGTGGTTAGAAATAAATTTTATATGTAAATAACATGAGTTGTACCTTGGGACTAGCCATTGCGAGGTTGTATGGAATGATTTGCAGTAAATTAAGAAAATTCAAATCAGAAAATGTAAAATAGCAAAAACAATACATTAGAATTGAAGTAAATAAAAAATAGAGAAACAGTGACCAAAATGGAAAAATGTGACAACAATGGGAGGACCTAAACGTATTTCCCTATTTAACATGGTATTTATCCTATACTTCCCCATTTAAAAAAAAACTAAAGTCTTCTCCTTCTTGGGATTGTTTAAGGAAAGACAAATTAATATAAAGATAAAAAAACAACGTAATCGGAAATTTAAGAAAAAATCTTAACAAAACTGGTTTATTATAAAAATTCGAAAGTATTAATATTTTTCCACAAGTATCAATACTTTCAAATTAAAAAAAACATGAAAAATGAGAATATTGTAAAATAGCGATAATTTTCCACAAATATCTTAAAAAAAGAAAAATGAGAATGCTACAAAGTATCAAACTTTTTTCACAAATATCAGAGCATAAGTATCAATATAAATGAAAAAGAATCGGACATCATAATATATGTACTGATATTTTAACTATCGATCATCTTCATCAACTTTTCAATATATTAAAGTATCGATCATCATCACATAACTATCGATATTTTAAATTTCAATTTTTATCAGTTTTTTCAATATTTAAAAGTATTGATCATTACCGTATAAGTATCGATATTTTAACTTTCAATCTTATCTTCAACTTTTTAAATATTTAAAAGTAGGCTTAATATAAAAATAAGTGCTTAAACCATACTCAAATTTACTTTTAGTGTCTAAAAATTTTTTCGCTAAAAATAGGTACCTAAAGTTTTATCTGTTATACTTTTAGGTGCCTACTTTTAAAAAATTGTTAAGTGACACATTTTACGTCCATATTTTAAAAAATTAAAAATATATTTTTTAAAAATATGGACGTGGAACATGTCACTTAACGATTTTTTTAACGGTAGGCACCTAAAAATGTAACGGAGAAAACTTTAGGCACTTATTTTTAACGAAAAATTCTTTAGGCACTAAAATGTTTTTTTGAGGTATTTTTTAAGAAATTATCTTTGTATTAAGCCTTAAAAGCATCAATCGTCATATATTAAGTATCAATATTTAAAATTTTGAACTTTCTTTTTTGATTTTTTTATCTCGATTCACCCTGAATAGATATCGATACTTCATTAAAGATAACATTCTTGGGCGCAACTGGATTTATTATAGATATTCATAACAATTTTAGCATTTAGAAACAATTGTTCAAAGCCAAGGTAACATTTTAGGCGCAACAAATTTTATTAATAAAAAATATTAACATTCCATATCGTAATCTAACTTCTTAGTGAACCATTACATTGTTGGGCACAACTATATTTATTGTAAATATTCATAATGTTTATAGCTTTTTACTTATTTTCTTATATTGGGAAAATCTAAGGCTCCATCAGCTTAAACTCTAGTAAACTGTTAGGCGCAACCCATTTTATTAATAAAAAAAATTAATGTTCCACATCACAACCTACTTTCTTAGTGAACCTTGACATTCTTAGGCGCAA